AATAAACCACCAGAAAACCGGAAGTGGCGCTGTAGCTCAAGTGGTAGAGCACTCACCTTGAGCTGAAGAGCTGAGGGACAGCGCCCAGGCCCAGAGTTCAAGCCCCACGACCAACAAAAATAAAAAAGAATAGGAAGAAGGAGGAGGAGCAAAAAGAGGAGGAGCAAAAGGTAGAGGAGGAGGGGATTGAGGGAGAGGAAGAGGAGGAAGAGAAAGAAGAGGAAAAGGAAGAAGAAGGTAGAAGAGGAGGGAGAGGGGGAAGGGGAAGAAGAGGAGGAGGAGGAAGAATAGGAAGAAGCAGGAGGAGGAGCAAAAGGAGGAGAGGGGAGTGAGGGAGAGGAGGTGGAGGAAGAGAAATACGAGGAAAAGGAAGAAGAAGGTAGAAGAGGAGGAAGAGGAAGAGGAGGAGGACTCCAGATGTCTTTCTGCACATGAACTCAGAGGAAAGGCTGTGTGAGCACAAAGTGGATGTGTGTCTACCAGCCTAGAAGCCAGGCACTTCATCTTAGGACTTCCAGCCTCCAGAACTGGATAAAGCAAGTCTTGTTATATCAGCAGTCTGGTCTTTGGTGCTTTATTATGGAAGCTCTAGGAGACTAAAAAAGTAGTGTTTGCATTTGACAACTCTGTCATCTTCTGAGTGCTTGCTGATTGTTGGCTAAGTGAACAAGACAAGCAAATCCAAAGGAAATTGATAGCAGCGGTCCTGATAAAAGGCTCAGTGTCTTGTACTATTGCACCGCATTTCACTGAGACAGGCCATAAAACAACTCTGGGGCCAATGACATTCCAAAACATAATGATGACTCAATTTCTAGATCACCATTTCAACCCAATCCTAAGCAACTATACTGGAGAGAAATACCTGTCCACAGTGGGAAGTCCAAATGGTGAGGGAAGCACAGGAGTCCTCTGTAGCCCCATTGCTGTCAAGAAAGGGTTTGCAGCCATCTCCAGATGCGCCATTGGTAGCTCCTGCCTCTGATGGACTTCTAGAAAGAACCAGACAGGTACAGTAACAAATAATTCTACTCTGAGTAAGGCATTTGCACTGTTGAAAACCAGTGAAAACCCTTTTTACCACATGAACACTTGAGAAGACTAGTTACTATACTGTTCATTTTTTTTTCTTCTTCTGGTTTTGTTTCGTGCTGGTACTGGGTCTTGAACTCTCAGGGCCTGGGTGTTGTCTCTTAGTTTTTTCACTCAAGGCTAATGCTCTATCACTTGAGCCACAACTCCACTCCCAGCATTTTGGTGGTTAATTGGAGATTAGAGTCTTACAGACTTTACTGCCCAGGCTGGCTTCAAATTGTAACCCTCAGATCTCAGCCTCCTGAGTAGCTAGGATTATAGGCATGAGCCATCAGTGCCTGGTTTATACCAAGCTTTTAAATGCACACACACACACACACACACACGCTCATAGGAAGCACCCAGCTGTAACTGTAGAACTCTGTGTTTTATAAATGTGACCTTGGTACCATATCACTAAGAAAACAAACAAAAATTTAAAAATACTCACTTTCTTTCTTATAACTCATTTTGATTCTTACAATTCTGGAGTTACAAAGGCATACATTTTCCCATAGAGCTTTGGAAAAATATTCCTATACAGATGATAAGATTAAAACAAAAAATGGAGAGAGAAAATCTTCTTAATGGCTAAATACATATCTAATTAAGGTGGATGCAGGCAGACTTCATGAGACTATTAGAACAAGTGATCAAGTTATATCCTAGCTTACATAAACTGTCTCTGCCATAAACATTTTATCTTCAGAACCTAGTGATCAGAAAGCGGGACAATTGTTAAAAGATAACATTTGACTCACATTTTCTTGTTAATAATATCCTTTATTAAACATAGAGCAATAAAGCCATTTAGTTTCTCCTTCAATCAGAACTATTACCTTAAAAAAACCTAAGGCTGAGATGTAGCTCAGTGGCAAAGTGTGTGCCTAGCAAGGATAATGTCCTGGGTTCAATGCCCAGCACCAGACCAAAAGAAATGTTTAAAAAGTGAGCCAGAGATAGCAGGGTTAGAGGCATGACTCAGGTCGTGCAGATCCAGCCAATGAATGAAAGCAAATACCAATCTCAAGTCCTAAGTCTAGGACAAACACAAACAAAGACCTGAGATAGCTCCAATTACATGTGGGAAAATTCAGAAGGAAATGTTTTACTTTACACAGTGATGATCTTTCTATTGCTTCTTTTTTGTTGTTGTTGCTTCTCCTTTCTCATGTCATTTGATTTAATTTTTAAAATATTTAATTTCCCTCAGATGGTCCAAATACTAAACACAATAGTATTTAAGTATTCAGCTACTTCCTTAAATTCTTTTTCAGATTTAAACCTACTAATTCAAATCTATGGGTCACCATGCCTGTCCCTGGCTTTGACTACTTGTTTACTTTGGTGAAGTTCTTTTGTGTGTGTGAGGTAATGGGCTTGAACTCAGGGCCAGGGCACTATCCTTTAGCTTTTCTGATGCTCTACTACTTGAGCCATACCTCCATTTTTGGCTGTTTGGTGGTTAGTTGGAAATAAGAGCTTCACAGACTTTCTGCCTAGGCTGGCTCTGAACTATGATCCTCAGACCTCAGCTTTCTGAACAACTACGATTACAGGCGTGAGCCACCGGAGTACAACGTTCTGTTTATTTATTCCACTGAATTTCTGTTAGACCAATGTCATTTCCTGATCGTAGCTCATACAGAGATTAGACACAGCCCAGCCAAGACTGGAATAAAAATTTCTGCCAGGCTTCTACAAGCTGCAGTGAGAATACCAAGGGAGAAGGCAGGCTGGGTCACATACGAGGTTGGGATTTTAGTGGGGACACTGTCCTGCAGGGTTAGGTCTGGAATGTTCTACATGATATTTAATACACAGTTAGACACCTTCCTTCTAGACCAGGGCCCAAGAGAACTACATGGGATTCATTTTGAAAAAACTACTGATCTCTGATTTGACAGTCTCTAGCAGATAAATGAAACTGCTGGTGGGTAAGATCTGAAGTGGCAGAGTGCTATGATTTGGGAACCAGTGTTGCTCTAGGCACCAGTAGCTCCCTCCTGAAATCCTTGCTACTCAGGAGCTGAGTTCTGAGGATCATGGTGCTATGCCAGGCAGATGCTTATCTCGAATTAACCAGCAAAAAGCTGGAAGTGGATATGTAGCTTAAATGATAGAGTGCCAACTTTGAATGAAAAAGCTAAGCAAGAGTAAAAGGCTTTGAATTCAAGCCCGGTTCCACCAAAAAGAAAGAGAAGAGAAAGAGAGAGAAAAAAATTAGAGTCGTTTTTATGCATATGTGTTCTCACCACAAAGCAAAGAAACAAAGGCCTGTACAGGGTCACAAAGAAACTTTGAGAGGCATGGGTCATCTCTACCTTGTCCTGGATGTATTCACCAACCTGTATACCTCCAACACGTGTAATTCTTTCCATATCAATTAATTCTTAATCAACCTACTTCCAAAAATATAGCTTTCATCTGATGAGCTGTCTGAATCAAATTAGGGGCAAAGAGAAAGAAAAAAAAAAGGAAGAAAGGGAGAGGGAGCAAGCACTTCTCAGAGTTGACTACCTGTTCCTTAGCTAACACTGGTGGAAGTGTCCTGGTGCAGAGGTGGTACCTCGGGATTCCCAAAGCAGACCTTAAGACAAGGACTTACATGAAAGCAGTGTATTTGGGAGGTAAATGGAGGATGTTAGCCACTGCAAGTGAATAGGAAAAGGAGGCCAAGAGAAAATTAAGGAAAGGGTGGGTTCATATATTGCTAAACACTGCAGTCAACCAGGGGTTAACCCTACTGGGGATCCTGAAAGAAACTGTCCAAAATGGTGGCCATATATTTCAGTTGGTCATTGCTTGAGAGCATATTTCCCCATCACCTTGGGTAATGCCACGCTAGATCCAACAAGCTCCTGAGGGGTGGGGGGAAAGCTTCAGATCAAGAAGCACAGATGCAGAGGCCTGGGATGGGACCTGACCCACGTTACAGGTGGACTCCGAAGGGAGCCAGGGAGGTATAAGGGAAAGCAGCGACAGTGCCCAGTGCTGTGAGGTCATTCCAATAGGCAACCACAAAAGCCTTTCTTAAGAAGCACCAGGTTTGGGGCTGGGAAGGTGGTAAAGCACTTGCCTTGCATGCCTGAGGACCTGGGTTCGATTCCTCAGCACCACATAAGCAAAAAGGAAAAAAAACGCCGGAAGTGGCACTGTGGCTCAAGAGGTAGAGCCTAGCCTTGAACTGAAGAGCTGAGGGACAGCACCCAGGCCCAGAGTTCAGGCCCCACGACCGGACCCAAAAAAAAAAAAAAAAAGAAGCACCAGGTTTGTTAGAAACAGACACATGTTCCATGATGCTGGGGAGGGATCATTGGCTACAGGATATTCTTCATATTGGTTATGATTTCAATGAAACAAATAGAATACCCAACATGATCACGCAAATGAGAAAGGATGCATCAGAAACAGGTCTTAATTTACCATCAAAATTTACCTGCTTTGGCTGGGTGCTGGTGGTTCCCACCTGTAATCCTAGTTACTCAGGAGGTTGAGATCTGAGGACTGAGGTTCAAAGCCAACCTCGGCAGGTAAGTTTTGAGATACTTATATCCAATTAGCCACCAAAGAACTGGAAGTGGAGTGCAGCTCAAGTGGTAGAGTGTTAGCTTTGAGCACAAAAACCCAAGGATAGTGCCCAGGCCCCTAGTTCAAGCCCCAAGACCGAAACAAAACAATAACAACAAAAATTATCTAATTTACTATTAAAATGGTATCCCTGGCCCCACACATGTCTTTTGGAGGAATGGGGTAAGTGCTAGGGATTGAACCGAGGACCTCCTCTGTGTTAGACAAGGTGTTGTACCACTGAGCTACATCTCTAGTCTCCCTATCTGTTCTTGATCCATGGTTCTTAGGTCTGACGATCCTTTTTTATACAATGTCAGAGAACTGGATCTAATTTATATGTTTCTGTTATGTTTCCAATGTGTTTCACCTAGTTGCAAACTATTCTCAATATCTATGGAAATGTCTCTACATCATGGAAATCTCCAGAAAGGACAGTGAGTCATTGATACCATGACATCCCATTCTGGACTCCCATCCAATTTTCTAGTTTCTTTTTGATCTTTGGGCTTGTGAACAAGTACTTATTTACTTACTAATGCCATACCTGTTGGTGCCCAGATTTTCTAACAAGATTGCCTTCTGTCACTATTCATATTGCCTTCTGTTACTATTCATATATCCCTAAATTTTAGGGTGTTTTTGTTTTGGGGTTTTAAGGGCACAGTAACTGGAGTTTGACTGAGGGCCTGAGTGCTGTCCCCAAGCTTTTGCTCAAGGCTAGTGCTCTACCACTTGAAGCACAGCTCCTCTTCTAGATTTTTTTGAGTGGTTTACTGGAGATAAGAGTCTCACAGATTTTTCTTCCCAGGCTGGATATGAGCAGCAATCCTCAGATCTCAACCTCCTGAGTAGCTGGGACTGCAGGTGTGAACCGCTGGTGCCCACTGCTTTGAGAGCAGTGTTACACTGACAGTAAAACTGAGTGGATGGAGCAGAGTTCTCATATACACTCCTCTTTATACACACACACACACACACACACACACACACACAGAGTCAATCCTACCCAACCAACATCTCTGATAAAAACATGTTTGTTAGAATCAATGAAACTAAATTGATATCATTGTCATCCAGATCCATAGTTTACATTAGAGCTGACTCATGCTATAAATTCTACAGGTTTGACAAAAGTATAAGGGCATAATGTGGCTTCAATGGCTCACACCTGTAATCCTAGTTTCTTAGGAAGAAGGAATTAGAGGATCAAAATTTGAAGCCAGACCTAGCCCCAGCCCAGTCCCTATCCCCTCCCCCCAAACTGGCCTCTGCTCTGCTTCAACCAATAGCTGGGTGGTAGTTGTCTATTCCTTAGCTAT